TACCGCTTCATGAGAAGAAACAGCATATGACATGCTGTTTTTGCAACGTAACCGCGGACACTCCTGATTGATGGCATCGAAACGGAGATCAGCACTACATCGCACCGCAAACAGAAAAAAAATATGTCAGAAACGCTGGCCATCGCAAAAGTGGAAGACAGATGGGCAGTTGCAGACTCTGCCTTTTTCCTTACGTTACTGATAAACTAGCCAATTGGACACAGCACGTGAACAGCGTGAAAAATTTTTGACAACCAAGTCCACGTCGGTAAAGCTATTACGTTATAACGACCATCAAGTGAGAACTTCCTAATGGTAATCAGTAGGGACGTCAAGAACAGAAACCAAAGGCGACAATTGAGACCATATTGATTATTCAGAAATTTTAAACTTAATTCTGTACCAAGAAAATATGGCAGTTATATAATGAAACAATGAGTCCAGAACAAGAAGCTAAGGAAACCACCACAAATTCGCAGATTCAATAAACGCCTGCTGTGAAAAGTGACTAGATTTGTGAAAAACATGAAAACGACTCAACATGACCATAATATATAACAACAACAACCGGAATGTCACCGAAAACGAAACATCGTGGATCAGACTGCTAAAATGCTACCACATATAGCCGGCAGTACATCCTGTCAGTAATGTTTTCTTGAAGATCAGATACATAATACAATTGCTAACATCATGAAATCAATCCGGTTTAGCACTGCTGTGAAAAACAGTATTAATTCATACAAAGCCAAACGACTTCTTTCGCGTCAGTAACGCAAGGACAGCATCGAATTTAAACAATTCTGACTGAGGTTTCTGATTCTGAGCGTATAATTATGTATATGGTTGCTTGAAATGATTCATGGTTCAGGGACCAAATGCAGCACTCGGTAAACCGTTAATGCCAAAGCGTTTACTGCAGAGACCGCAATATCATGAGAGCTAGACTGAGTACAAATGAGTGCTCGAAGGCATTTATATTCAACATGAAAACAATGCCAATTTTTCGGTTGGTTCATCACCGACAGTCAAGACGTTGTTAAACTGTCAGAACAAGGTGTAATGTCCATATGAAAATAAATCGGATGTTTGTCATGTTGATTCAATCTTGTGCATCAGTTCTGTGATTGTGCCCCAGCATCCATTGTTGACAACAGAAGATGTGTATTCACTGCATTTCCGGTTTTTCACTGTCAGTATATGCAAAGACTTTTTTATCAGCAGACCTAATATAGACTAGTTTCTGTCTGTGACACTGGTCTGGCTGAAAGAATGTCCTTCAGTCACAGTGCTGGCCAATCTCGCCAAGATGGACCGCTGCAAGGTGCTCTTTCATCGAATTTAAACGAATTCTTGTGCATCACTTAGTTTCAACGCATTAACACGCCAAAAATGAACAATACGCTTCGGCAACAAAATGTTTATGTGCGCAGCAAAGACAGACTACTGAATCGTAAACATCAGCCACCACCTACTGAAGTTCCCGCAGAGGATATTCTGAACTGATGTTCAGATTGCCAGGTTGATTTCTTACTCAGCGGCGGCGAATTCATTGCGCTCGCGAAAATAAGCTGCTCTGCGAGGGTTTCTCGCTCAAAACTTACCAGACAACTAGAAACTACGAAATCCGTGATTCCAGCAGTCAACACCACCAGAAGTAGGTTTCGTACCGCATATTAGAACGTTCATTCCTTAGCTGGCAAAAGTAAAACAGATTATGTCTGACAAATAGCCCATCAGCACTAACGCAATGTATTGGATGTACCCGAAGCTCGCATCTCGGGAAAGGGCACACATAACCTGCAAGAATAATGATCATTTTGGTGGTCAGGTCACAGGAGATAACGCCAGGTCGGTGTGGGTATTTTTATGTCACAGGGCAAGCCGGGCGATCATTCTGGTGGATTATTTGTCGGAAATTCTGGTCTCTTTCATAAATGGTAAACAGACGACCCTGAATGTCAATGTAGCCTATGTTCCGGCATACATATAGCGTAACAACGACAAAAACGGTTAGTGTGAATGCCTGCAATCACCTGTTAGCGTACTGAGGCGTCATGACGTAACAATTGTCAAAGGAATGTCAATGAGAAGGTGGGCGTCAAGTATAGCACATGGCCAGTCGTATTCAGCCGT